CTTATTTTCAAAAAAAATATTATGGTTGTTTTCCTGGTTTTCTCTGTTGCAGTTTATTAAGTTTATGAGACCCGTCTCTGTAGAGGCCTTTTTTTTTATCAAAATTCTTTACTTAGTGTGGCAAATGTATGCGTATAGGCTTACACGTCTCTATACCGTCAAAGCTTCCCATTGTAATGTCAAATGTACCTTCTGTCTTTATGCCGAATAAACGTAAAGGTACAAATCAACCACATAGAAAACCTAATGACAAACCACTCTATACACACACATATGGCATAAAGTAAAAAAAATCTGGATACATCTATAAGCAATACACACACACACACACACACACACACACACACACACACACACACACATATATATATATATATATATATATATATATATTGCATTTAAGGATAAAACGCAAAAAATTATAAATATCAATGCTTACATACAAATATTAATACCTGATCAGCCGTCACCCGTGTCAACTATGGCTGCGTACCTCAGAGAGGAAGCAGTTTGAGGCCGAAAAATCTTTCAGTGGAGCAAAATTTTCCAACAACGATGAGACAGCTGGTCTCCAAAAGGCATGGTGAGATACCAATATGAGAACAGAAGGAGGTGGGGGACGAAGAGACTTCCAAAAATGGAAATTAATAAAATTTTCCTGACCGAAAACAAAGAAGTGGATTGTGGGTTTGGAATTATTAAGGAACCTCAAACCCCGACAAGCTCACCCCGGTTTGGTTGGCGTCCATATAAGCAAAGCCGCAGCGAGCGAAAATCAGCTGGAGTTCAAGTTTTTCCAGTTCCAGTTAAGTTCCAAGCAGTTGCAGTGAGCTGAAAGCTCTGAAGACCGCATCGCAGAGCTGACTTGAAAGATTCACGCAATTCCGACTCATCTTCTAACCAAGAACAATTTATTTTTGAAGAACGACTTAGACTCACACCACCAAAACAAGTTTTACGAATTTCGCCTGAAGACACACCAAGAACCAGTTTCTTAAAGGATCAGACAACTTAAGATGTTAAGACTCGCCTAACAAACACAAAGTGTCACGAATCCACATAGCGGGTTTGGGAAGAAAACTCAGTCCTGTACTCAGTAACCAGATATAAAGTATTGTTTTCCTTTTTTTAACACATTTGAACTTTTCGAGTTATTATTTTATTTTATTTTACACATACTTGTGCGATATCGCCCTTGTTCGAACTCGGCTTGCAGTACAGCCCAGCGACTGATTGATTTCGTCTGCCTAGATCAATTCACAACGTGGGTAGGTTAGACTAGAAATCAAAGCAGTTATTTCGGTAACCAGACGTTGGAAGCGAGCTGGGAACGACAAAGCTGATACCGAATCTAACCAGATTCCCATCTGAATCACCAAAAGGTTAGAACGTCACATTTGGTGCCGCGACCAATACCAAGCCAGTTGGTCGTCACAAGACAGGATAGCACGACTGACGCAGACAGGCGGACGTCACGTTTGGGAGCGACGACACCGCGGGGACGTCACATATATAAATCGATAGATAGATAGATATAGTTTAATCATGAGTAATACATACATATATATATATATATATATATATATATATATGTGTGTGTGTGTGTATATATATATATATATATATATACATGCATGAGCAATATATATATATATATATATATATATATATATATATATGCAAAACAGAAATTTATATTTATAGATAATTCTCAGTGGTGTTGAATATTAATTTTCTTAACATCACTGGTTTTATGTTGCTTCCCAGTTTTTCGGCCAATAGAGAAAGTTTATTTTTTCCTAAGTTATTATATGTCCTTGACAAGAGCAAAATGTTGTTCGAGAAATTTCTAACACTCTGGGCCTCGTGACTAGAAACCTTAATAGAAAAAAGATTCTCAGTGGACTTCTGCGTCAAAATAAATACCATTTTGTTTTTAAAAGTTTTAAGGTTCTATTACTACTTTCACTTTCACTTTCTCTTAAACTGTCCGGATTGAATTTGAAATGATGTTGATTTCATTATGCGTTTAGATAATGTTATACCAGATGCCGTTTATAGATAAAATAAAGAAGAATTACGAATTGGCGTGAAGGTGGTGTTAGAAAAGGAATCAGATGGAAAGATGGGAAGAAAGAGGAAGGGAAAGACAGAGACATGAAAGGAAAATCAGAAGGATATGAATAAAAAAGGAAAACAGAGGAAAGAAGAAGAAGGAGAGAGAGAAGAAGAAGAAGAAGAAGAAGAAGAAGACTAAGAAGAAGAAGAAGAAGAAGAAGAAGAAGACTAAGAAGAAGAAGAAGAAGAAGAAGAAGAAGAAGAAGAAGAAGAAGAAGAAGAAGAAGAAGAAGAAGAAGAAGAAGAAGAAGAAGAAGAAGAAGAAAGAAAGATTGTGAAGGAGAAAAAAGAGGAAGAGAAAAATAGAGAGAAATAGAATAAAACCATATTGTGAAGGAAAGCAAAATTAGAGAGTAATAGAATAAAATTATATTGTGAAGGAGAAAAAGAGTGAGAATAGAGAGAGTAATTGAATAAAACTATATTGTGATAAAAAAGAGGAGGGATAGAAAAATAGAAAGAATAGAATAAAATTATATTGTGAAGGGAAAAAAGACGAAGAGAAAATTTGAGAGAAATAGAATAACACTATATTGTGAAGTAAATCAAAAGAAAAACAGAGAAAAAGACAATAACACTATACTGTGAA